AGGACAACGGTTTCCTCCATGCGACGGTGCCCCGTACCCAATCCCCACCTGCAGTGGCACCCCCTTCTCCAACGGATGGCACGTCTTCTTCCCCAACCAGCGGTGGCGCCCATACCCTCCCACACAAGAGATTTTGGCGCCATATACCTGCCACTGCCAGCCAACACCACCAGGTATTCGCACCCCTTCTCTTCCCTTGCTTCTGTCTGGAACCGAGCACCCAAACCCTATTCGGATCTGATCTAAAGAAAGTTTGTATATGTATTTGCCTAATGAATACGATACTTTCTTTTGCAAAATTTATTGGGTGTACATGTGTACACCATGTCCCTTACTGGGTCTGCCCCAGCTTGCGATGATGGGTTGATATATTTGTTGATTCTTTCAGGTTCATAGATGGCACAGACGGTGTTCACCCCCTCTTTAGAAGGGATGGAGCATGTCAAGGCAGAGAACATAGTCATTCTTACCAAGCCCTTCCTTGATGTCTGCAAGAAAATCTTGCCTGTCCTGGGTAACTCATTTGCTTCACTGTCAGCTGCACATAAACAATCATCAGTTTTATGAATGAAATTACTTTGCACCTTAACTGGACAAACAATCATCAGCAAGTGTCGCAAGCATGTGGTTATCACAGAGGCCCACATCCTTTGTTCAGATTGTGACAATGAACATTGCTAATTATTTTCTTTTGTAAAATTATTTGCCACAGTTTTGGTCCATCCTTTTATTTGATGCTTCATTTGCCATAGCCTTTTGATTTTTTGTTCTTTCTGTTAAATTATATTTGTTGTGCAAACATGGACTAGATTTTGATGTGAAGTGGTGCATATATGAGTATGTTAAGCTCTTTATTTTATATTTGACAGGAACAAAGGTTAGTCTTTACTTAACATACAAATGAAAAGAAAATCAAATCTCAACACAAACCTAATTCTTATGTTTAGCCTTACCTCCTGGTCTGCTACATTTTGTAAGCTGCAGCTTACTGTTCACACCTTCTTTGCAGTGGTTTCATGCGTTGCAGACTTGCAGCTCCCACGGATGCATAAGAAAGGGATCACCTGTCTTGCTAGAAGGGTGGTGTCTGATACTATTGCAATTTTTGCTTCTACTTCTTCGCATGGTATTGTTGTTATTTGGGAGATGGCAATTGAGCCCACCCCCAGTGGTAAGATTGCTTCCTTGTGGATTGACAATAATACTGTTAGGATCCTAATCTTTTGTCATGCTGGTTTAACTATTCAAATTATAAACTCCAGTTTATCATTCCACTTTTCTCTTGAGCTGACTATTTAATATAAGATCGTGTAAAAGAATCATACCTCAGTAAAATTACTTGACTGGGAATAGACTCTAAAGTGGTCAGATAGTGAACTTAGCTATTGCCTAATTAGATTTGCTGGCAAACTGTCATAGAGAATAATATGAAACTGCCGCGGATCTTTTTTTTATTAAATGACATTTTCCACTATTTATCTAAGAAGATCATACTGTTCCAATTGTGGTCAAATTTTTGTTGTTAGATTTCAGTGTTTAGGATTGGTTGTGTTGGATTTCATAGAATACGACTGGTTATTTTTTCAGATGGCTATAGTGAATCATGAAAATTGATTTCAGCCCATTCTTTTTTGCTGCTTTCAGAAGATGCAAATGTTCATACCATGGGCAATGCTATGGATAATGGAGGAGAGGGTAAGTTAGCGACCTGTTCTATTATTACTCTTTACTAATGGTCATGATGGTAGCTAGATTGATACAAATTCTTTTTAACTAAGGCTAATATCAAGTGTATGATCTTTGCCTGGACTGAGTATCTAATTACATAATCTGATTCAGTAGCGCTTGTGTATATTCAGCAATGAATAAAATAGCTTCTATTTCCAGTTGATACCCTCTGTTTTCAATACATAGAGATTGAATTCCCAGAGCACATGAACAATAATCCAATTGTCTCCGAATTGATGAAATAGTCATCCCTTTTAGTTTTCCTGGTGACGTGCAAGTCTGCAACCATGAAGGCCATCAGCTTGAGCAAATGATTTTCTTTGCCTTCTTATTTCAGTCCTAAGTCAACTGGCAACTAATTAAATAGTCAAATCCTTGAGCTTACATATACCACTGCAATATTTGTGAATACTTGATCTGTAGCAATGTATTGTGGTGCTAGCAAATATATAATACTTTCTTGGTGCAGGATTGATATTGGACGTGTGCAAGCGGCTGAAACTGAATGGAAGACCAATTCCTACAAGCGAAGCTTGAATTTCTTTTAGTGTTATTTTTTAACCTAATGACATCTTTTCATAGCTGAATTGTGTCATATGCAAGTGATATTTAGCATTTCTTTTGAATACTAATATTTAATATACAATTGGCTGGCTTGATTTTTTTATGATGCTTTTAAGTTAATGAATTTTTAAAATTAACCAAACATATACCCTTTTGGTTGTTTAATTTGCATTACCTAGAATATTACCGTAGCGTTAGCACGAGCATTGTACTATGGTTCTTCAAGAATATATCTACACTGCAAAAGTTCCTAGACAAAAAAAACTAAACTATCATAGCCTAGATGTTTTTACTTTTTATATGTTAATTGGTATTGAGAAAAATTACTATCAGTGCAACAACAAATGATATTATCTTTTGGTTGTTTGATTTGTTTTTCTAGATGCCATAGCGGTAGCATGTGCAATAGAATATGTGTTGTTGCACTGATAGTAATTGCGTGAAACTTAAGCCATGGGAAAAAAAATATTATCATCTGGTTGTTTTCATGTGCATCCCTAAAATGCAGCCGTGGCGTTAGCACGGGCATCATACTAGTATTATTTAAAGCAAGGACTTATTAGCTAGTGCAGACCATTTGCATTAGCACTGTTTTCTTTCTCCTATGTTAGGATTATTACTTAATGTTTTTGATTTTTTTGAAAATTGAACATATATCTTAAAGTAATGCAAGCGGTGCTGTTTGGTTATGTAAAAGTTAGGTGAAATTAAGTAAACGTCTCCGTCGCTAGAATGGAAGGGAATCATTGATTATGTGTTTGTTTGGTTCACCGGTGATAAAGAGCGGACGGGAGCAATCGATTACCGATCGAATCGGGCGTAATCAACTTACTGAAGCACGTATTGGTTACCCTGGTATTGGATCCCGTCGGTGGTGAAGCAAACAAAAACTACCGCTATCTGGTTTCAAAAAAAAAAAATTTACTGCTATCTGTTATCGATGTAACTGGTTCACGCCGGAAAACACTCAGAACCAAACAACATCTTAGTTCAACATATATATTCTATCTTTTTTCTGGAAATACATATATATGAGATAAGACTAAATCATTTATGCTTTACAACACCATTACGAATAACTATTTGATACTTACATAGTTCGGGCGATATAATACAGGGGATGTACAAAAGAGTAGAAAGGGGAATTTTGCACTGCAGAACACTAAATGAAACATATATTAGTTCACTATTTAATTTAGGTGAGGATTACAGGAAATGTGTTTGTTGGACTGAGAGTGTAGAAAAAAGTTCATAAGAACATGTCTATTCTTCAATCTTCATCAACAACATATTAGGCCATCATATCTAGCTGCCATTTCACAATGAATTCTATCCTCTCATATGCAAAATTGAGAACCTTCTTTATGAGGCTAGTCTGCAGAAACGTGATTCATTATTCAGTTAAACAAAAGGGTTAGCATTGTAAGAATGGTTTCATAAAAGATAAAGGATGAGTCAATGATAACTCTAGACTGGTCAGGGCATGCCAAACTGACCACCTCTCAAAGGTTGGCGTGCACAAGTCAACCACTAATTAACAAAATAAAAAACAGAAGCACCCTATAATGTTGTTCGATTGAATCACATCTAAGGAATTCCTAAAATGAATATTGTACAGCTAGTCAATGCCTGGCTCATCGTAATGAGGAACAAAGTCGGAAGTACCAGCATTATACAATTAATGAATGAGAAAGCAAACTGCTATTTGTCTTTTAATTTCTTTTTATATCAGTTGGAAAGAAAAGCTCATGCAATGCCTTGTATGCCCAAAAAATGCATGGTAGATGACCCCTTCTGTTCTACACCAGCTAGATCCATGAGAGAACTCACTGTAACTAATTCTAATAAAAAATGTATCATAAGGTGTTATAAGAAAACTAAATATGTTCGGAACAGCAGGTAAATATAAAGTGCAGGTAAATGTACCATAGGAAGGCATGATGATGACTATGCAAGTAGTGTTTGGCTTGGCAGCAATATTGTAGGTAGATGCCATTTGAGGACATATCCTTCCTTGGAGAAAATGATATAAATGTGGTCCAATAGCATCCATGCTTGCCAGGCCATATCCGGTCCTGTTGCGCCAACCACCGCCCAACCGGGTCGGTTCCTCTGTAAGGCCGGCCTGTCAAGCTGCCTCGGCCCTGACAGAACCGGCTTAGCTGGTTCAGCAGCCGACTAAGCCGGTTTTTCTATTATAGTCCGAGCCAGACTCTTTTCATATTTATTTTTGGACATGATTCACGTAGAAAACGTGGAGAACATGAGTTGGACTTGTTTTTTACTATGATAAGACCACCCCCTCTATATATATCAAAGGATCACGACGAATTGAAGGATCCAAAATTGAATGTCTTTTTTGCATCTATTACCAACTTTTTCCCTTTTTCAAACCTCTTGTTGTTCGTTGCATCTCTCCATGAGATTCATCGGCGTTCTAGGTAGTCATGCTGATCCTAGAACAACCTTAGGCCTACTCCTCACCGACGGATCCTCCCAGGAGGTGTTCATAGGCTTTTGCGGCGAAGGATGGGCTCTAGATCGGCCTAATTGGTTTAGTCGATCCCAAGAGTTGCTTGCTGCGTGTGATAGGTTGTTTGCAGCCTAGGCCGTGCTAGCCCTTACTGGTGTGTGATTTGGATCTCAATCCAACGTCAACGCACTTTTTAGTGACTTCACTAGGGAAGAAGATCAATCAAGAGATCAAGATGCCTGAAGATCAAGCCAAGAATGAAGGTGACCTCTCTAGGGCGTTCAATGAGGGCAATATACTCTGTCCTACTACTCTTGATCAACTCTCGGAGCATCTTCGCAAGGATGTGGAGGCAAAGAACACTACTAATGTAGCAACAGCATTAGGAGCATGCTCATTCAAGACTCGTTCAAGTAACGTGGCTGAACAAGACAAGCAAGTCAACATCCAAGTCTTCACCTTCGATGGAACATTAAAGGTAAATCCACTTCCAAGTGAGCCTCCATCCGGTCTATTTACTCCAGAAGAACAACTTAAGTGGATGGATGAAAAATAAAGGCACAGGATGCTAGTATTATTAATTGGATGGATACTAAGCAGCATAATGCTAGTTTTAAGAAACCAATTAATACTGAATCTACCGCTCCTAGCTGCCCTTTGTCAGCACATCGGCTCCTAAGACCATAGATCTTCCTTATGGCTACCGATGAATGCTTCTAAAGGGCAAGTAGGCTCTTTGGTAGCTGTTGTGGGAACTAATGCTACGATTGTTCATCCTACATATACTGCTCCCATTACTAGTGACCCTCAAACAGCTAATGTGGATGATGGGATTGATGATGATATGAGTGAGTTAACAGGCTTTAAAGCTCCTTTACTATTGTAGCTTCACCCGCAGCTTCACCAGCTATCACAAAGATACGAACCCTACAATCGCAGTATTATGTCTCCTCTGGTTATCAATTGTGCACCGCTCGATTAATCTTGCCATGAAAGGAAATCCCTTCGTTCGAATTGAAGAGAGTAAATAAACATCAAAATGAACATATAAGATCATATACTAGTAAGTAAACATCCAAATGAGATCATATAGGCCCCGTTCGCTGGTCTGAAACTTGGCTGAAACTGGCTGATTGTGTGAGAGAGAAACACTGTTCGGCTGGTTTGATGAACAGTAAATTGTGAGGGGGAGCACCCGGCTGGTCTAGAACTTCCAGACCAGCGAACGGCCCCATAAGATCCAAATAATTCTAATTCATGCGCCATAATATAGAGCATGGTTTTAAAAAAGAGTGAATTGCACTGTAGGCCATAAAACTTTTCCCCACTTCTCACCTAGGTTCATAAACTTTTTTTCGCTCATTTGGGTGCATAAACTTTATTTACATCCTAGCCGCCATCCAAAGGAGGCCACATAGGACTCTGCTGCCTACATGGCCGCTGATGTGGAGCCACGTGCTCTATTTTTTATTTCATAAATTGGTTGAAACTTTGAAAAATGATATAAAATCGTAGAAATATCATAAAAAGGAAAATTCAATTTTGCTAGACTTCACATGAGTAGATATATACATATGACAAGTTTTAATTTCAAGTTTCTGCAGTAGATGTAGATCTATTCTGTGTTTAATTCATAACTCCAGCTCCTATGCTCCAATTGTGGTGAAATATTTATGGTAGGCTACACATTGACCAATGGTACAATTTTAGCTTCAGTGGAGCATGTATGACTGAGTTATTGATTTACCTAGATTTATGCTTGTTTAATAATTAATAAAAGCTGAATTTTTTACACCTTGTTAACTATTTATTACCAAGGTGTAAAAATAGTCCGATTTACCTCCTCATAGTTGATGTAGTGCTACATAGAACGTCTGATGTGGTGTCATGTCAGACTACGCTGCTTGAAAACCACCAAAGAAGAAAACTATCAATAGATGAAGGAGCTAAAACATCATGTTTTCTAGTTTGAGAGGTAAATCGAACAACAATAATAATGGAGGAAGGTCAGGGGATTTTCCAAAAGAAGGAACATTTGTTTTCGGTGAAGACTTCCTTTTGGCTGTGTGTACGTTTGTCGCTCCGCACGGCCTGCTCCATCACTACCAGCCTACAGCCCACCGTTGAGCCCAAAACTTATCTGCACTCCCTCCCCACCATCCTCTGCCTTGGTTCACGAATCCGCCGCGCCTCCCTGATCTCGTCTCCCCGCGAGCCAGCGACCCCTTAGATCCGCCGGCCCCGTACCACCTCCTGCCGCCCTACTGCCAGATCCGGCCTTGGCGGCGCAAAATCCTGTGACACCGAAGACGAGCGGGGCCGGAGAGCGGAGGTAGGTCACAGGAGTCATGGGACCAGGCCCGCTCCGACAGACGCTGCAGCGGTGGCTCCCGGCACTCCTCCGCCGTGCGGCGCCTGATGGCAGCGCGGCGTAGCCCTTCGCCTCGTCCACCATCCTCTATCACTGAGGCGCGGAGCTTCCCAGGCCACATGTGCGGCTGCGGCAGGGACCAGGCTTGTCGGCCGGCAGGTCTTTCGGCCCTCCACTGCCCCTTCCCCTACCGGTTTGCCAGCTGGCTCCTGCGGTCCTGCCTACTCGGTCTCGGCTGCTCCCACTGCCAATCCTTCCTCAGTGACAGATTGACAGCGAGGTGAGAATACGATTTGTTTGTTTGAATGTTCAATGATTTGTGATTGAGTGATTTTAGTTATAATTTTCCTTAAAATTTCCATGGTTGCCGTATATGTAGTTCTGTAATCTATATGTTGGTATTTGAGGGCACAATGTGTTCGGTGCTTATTAAGTGTGTGACTGAATGATGGAAATGGTAATTTGGTCATTCCCTTTTGTAGATGCATGCGGTTGCTTGTTGAGTACTTGATTTAAGATCATTGAGTACTGCTCACACTAGAGAACTCAGTAGTTAGCTAGTGTATTTGAGATTCTGCTCACACTAGAGGCAGCAACCATCATTGTGTTTTTGTTTGATAATTGTCTATTAAGGTAACAATATGTTGCCTTTTTCTGTTTCTTTTTGAATATAACTTGTGCATATCTCAAATCAATGTTTGGCGATGTTTGCGTCCAGGGGGTGATTCTGAGTCCAGTGTGCAAGTGCCAAAATTGGGGGGTGGCGACCGATGCAGGTGAGGACTAAAATGCTTTGTTGCTGTTTGAACACTGTACTTCCTTTTTCAGAATACAAAAATTGCCTATTTAAGAAGATATTATTGCCTAATAAATGACACTTAAATTGTCTAAGAAAATGCAGCTTCTTGCAGACGACTGCTGCTAGTTTTGGCTATAAAAGTAAACTAGACTATACTGTAGGTATAACTGCAATAAGCTGCAGCCACAACCAAATAATTGCAGCCGAGCAGGCTGATTGCCATATTTTTCTTGAGTGCAGAAGGTAGGTTGATTCCCATTGTGTGGCATTTGAGGAGTAGACTACACCTCTTTCCTTCCTCTTCTGCTACTTCATTTCCAGCACCATTTAATTCATTATCAGCAACTATAGGATTAGCAGTAGAACCTTTCATTCCTGTCCTCTAACATTGCCTGTTCAAATGACAATATGATCTCAGAAACAGTAGGAGAAACCTCTTCTAAAACTACAGGAGCCGCCTCTGCTAAACCAGCGTGACCAACTTCAGAAATACTAGGCAAAATCTGCTGGTTCACATGTTGTTCATCAGGCTGAGGAATTACAAACACTTGAGTGCAGAAGGTAGGGTCGCCGGTGATGAGATCCTAACATACAGGTATGTTAAGCCTCGGGTCCAATGGTTCCCGAACGAAGAAGACCCCCCGACCAACCCCTTCAAGATTGCTCGGGGGCTATGCCCATCGGGCACGCTCGCGCGCACCCTCTGGCAAAGAGACCCGGCCGAGCCTGACTCGATCACAGCTTCCACCTGGGGCTTGGGGGCTTCCCCAAGCCTTGGGCTCCCGATCTACGGCACGACCAAGCCCGGTCCTTGGCTCCTGCCCGGCTAACGATGCCAGCCAAGGCCCGGGCACAAGAAGACAAGCCCCAGGCTACTGATGTCTGGGGCTCCCAAGCGTCGCTACCTAGGTGTGCCCCTGCCAACTGCTCCTCCGACAGGGCCACGTTCGGGGCGTGACACAAGAAGACAAAGCTTCCTGCGGCCTTCGGGGGCTCGGGGGCTTTCGGGCCGGCGCGTCAGCCCCTGGAGCCGACCTCCTTCACCACCAAGAAGACTCCAGAATGTCTCACCCAGAGAAGGTCGGTCCAAGCCGACACCCTCTGACAAGCAGAGTGTCCGAACAGAGCAGCCGAACGACGCCCAGGCTTCTTCGGCACCAAGACAACTCAACGGTCCACGGCGCACCACTACAAGCCCCTCCTAGACTCTGGCGCACGTAGACCATAGACTAGAACCCCCAAACCGCCTTATACCCGACCTATTTATATAAGGGATAAGGTCAGACCTAGAGGGAAGAGGATCCCAGTTCGATCACGAGACACTCCATTCCATTCCATCTGCCTCTGCTCTACACCGAGAGCAAGGCAACCCGGAGAGGGGCACCGAGAGCCCCTTCTCCACCACATCCCGTCGTCTCCTTCCTCTTTGGCGAGGGGGAGACTCCACCGGCGGTGAGGCAACCTTAGGATTAGCACCGAGCTAACCCCCTAACAAACTTTCTTCCTTTACACTCTGTTGTAACCCCCCGGATTTTGGATGCTTTTGAGTATAAGGATCATCAGCTGCTGGACGTAGGGACCGAATTGGCCCGAACCAGGATAAACCGTTGCGTCTTCTCTACGTAATTCTTGTGTTCTTGAGTCCACCGGAACCCATACTCTGACATCGACTCGAATAACATGCTTGTCGTGGTTTTGACCCCACGACAACCGGTCACATAATCCAAATCAAATGCATATAAGAAATCTTCATCCAAATTTGGTGGCAGCTCGTTAAGATTCATATTTAAGACCTGCATGCAAAACAATAAGTATAAGTGTGTGTTACTATATTATGACAGCAGGCAACTTAGTCAAACCTATAAGGAAAATGGACCCTAGGCCCATTTACTTTGGATTTTGGTGTTTGATGACCAACATAGCCAAATTGGACTAATAAATTTGCAGGTGATTGTTTTGTAGTTCAATAGGGTGCGAGACGTGACTTGGACGAAGGCGACATGATGATCTGATGATCAACACCATAAGCAAGACCTTAGAAGCACAAGAGAAGACCCAAGATATCAAGTAAAGTCCAAGCACAAAGATAGGAACACAAGTCGGATGCAAGATCACGAAGAAACGAGCTCATAGAGGTGACCGGACGCTGGCGGAAAGTGACTGGATGCTCTGATCAAGAGGCTCGGCAACAGCAGGTGCGACCGGACGCTGGCGACAAATCGACCGGACGCAGGACTGCAGCGTCCGATCAATTACAGGAAGGTTCTAGAGCGGTGAAATTACTACCGGACGCGTCCGGTGGCATGTGATCGGACGCTGGCAGCGTTCGATCAGTTGATCGCGGCTCCAACGGTCGGGACGACCGGATGCGTCCGATCAGGACAAC